TCTCCGCATCACCGTAGCGCCATTTTGGAGAGTATCCACTGAACGCAAGCAGCGTACACTCTTCTGTGTCAGCCTCGCTGCACGGATGCGCTGTTTTCGTTCAAATCAAAGCGTAAATACACGTAGAAAACGTATCCTTGTGTCGCGGCTGACACAGAAGACCGTACGCTGCTTGCGTTCAGTGGATATTCTCTAAAATGGCACTACAGTGATGCGGAGAGACATTGAGGACACGAATTGTTGAATAAAGTTATTTTTTTCTTCGTGTACAAAAAGTATTCTCATCGCTTCATAACGTTACGGTTGAACCACTGATGGCAGATGGACTATTCTGACGATGTCTTTCATACTTTTCTGGACCTTGACAGTGTAATTTACTTGGCAGTCAATCGGACAGTCACAAGCCTCCCGGTTTTCATCCAAAATATCTTAAATTGTGTTCTGAAGACGAACGAAGCTTTTACGGGTTTGGAACGACATGAGGGTAAAGTGATTAATGACAACATTTTCATTTTGGGGTGGAATAACCCTTTAACCAATACCAAAATCTTAAAGGTTTTTTTTTGTGAAATGTCTTTCATTGTCTTTTCTTGAGATTACTGATGGCTTTGGTGGCTTTCATTTTGTATTTTGTTGCAACCAAATGCCTGGAGGAGTTCAGTATTTCACAACAGTGTTAACAAATAACAGAAACCAAAAAGTGTTGTTATATGGAGTAATGTTTATTGCTGATTAGAAGTTGAATATATATTTATATATACACAGTTGCATACATTGTAAAACAAAATATCCCATATCATGGAATATGAGATGATGAATGAATGAATGAATGAATGAATGAATGAATGTCTCCAGACTCGCAGTGGTAATGAACTGTATCTTAAACACTGCTGATTGTCTCCGTGGCACCATCTAATACTGCAACTCAATGATAACGCTGTGGAATTGCATCTCTACACCTATTTTCAGGATCTGGACTACAATTAAATAAGCACTGACGTTTTTTTAATCAACATTATGTAGTGTCGCCGAGCTGTTGAAAGTCTTGCATTTTTAAATAGATCAAATTCATTAACGTATATTCAAAAAGGGGGCAATAGAAAACGTATTATGTGGAATCGAGACAGTTCACGCACTTTCTGTGGAACGTAAAAGATGATATTTTGATAAATGTTGGTAACCAAACAGTTTTGGTTCCCATTGGATTGCATTGTCATTTTTGTCCTGCAAGTCAACGGGAGCAGAAACTATTTGATTAACAACATATCTTCTTTTGCCTTCCAAAGTAAAAAGCAAGTTTGGAACAACATTAGAGTGAGTAAATGATGACAGAATTTACATCTCTGGATGGACTATCCCTTTAAGTCCCTCATGATTGTAAACAAAATAACAAAAAAAACTAAAAGAAAAAAGTAATAGCAGCAAGTGAACACCATCATCTAACTTGAAAACCAAAACAAAAATGATGTAAATTAACAGCTGCAGATTCTGTAAAAGTGCCTTTCATTTCTGAAGCAGTACATTTTACAGTACTAGTAAAGATCTATGACTTGCATTGATTTGCAATTTCTACTGTTTTCGTACTGCTTTTAAAGAAACATTGTATGCTTGATTCCCAGCAATAGTATAATGATCATAGTCGCAGATGCTCTACTGTAATGTAGTACATCATAGCCTCTATGATGAATCATGTGTTGAGATGGATGCCTAAATTGGCGCGTTTCCTCCTGGCACGAGATTCGTTCACCCTCATCAATCTAAAACATTAAGCCGAGCTATTCCTGCAGAGCCATCTGTAGCTGCCTTACAATACGGTGAAAGTAAAGATGACCACGAAGCCAGTGACGCCACGTGTGCGTTAATATTCTAGACTCGGCCGAAGAGTGGAAACGGATTGGGGAAGTTGCGTTCAACCACATTCGCCTATATCCAACCAACAGCGCAACTCCAGTTTTCCCTTTTCGTCAAGTTTTATTAGATCTACAGTAGATGGGACGGTCCGGTTCACATGGCTGAACCTTGAGCCCCTTGGCTCTGAGTGTCCCGTTTCAGGCAGTCCTCCGTCACGCCCTGCGACGCCAGTTCTGAGAGCACATTGTCCAGGTAGTTGGGGTCGGGGTAGCCGTGGCCGGAGACGTTGGACATCATCTCCGTCTTGTGGTGGATCTCGTTCCATATGACGGTGTCTGGCTCCCCTGTGGTGCTGGAAGTGCCCACGGTGAAGATGAGGCGCCGTGTCCATGCCACTTTCAGCAGCTCCAGCACCTGGAGACGGTTGGAGATGATCAGGACCCTCAGTTTTAAAGTAAACACAGTTTGCGGTTTGCTTTGAGAGGGAAACGCAAACCTGAGCACTGTGCAAAGATCAACATTAAACATATATGCTGGTCGTGAGCCAATACATACTGCATTTCTTCTGTTACTTCGCTGCAGTATGGAGTGATTTCTTTTTCTTGCAAGAGAAATCACGTGCTGTTAAAACTCACATGGATCTTAATGAACTCGGTTAAAGGTTACAAAAACAAGAAATTATGTTCTGTGGTTATCGGCAATCGATAAATGCTGGAGTTGAAACATTCTTTTAAAGGTTCGACCTTGTATAAGGTTAGGACGCTCTGATGGAAGTGGAGGACTTTAGGGAATTTCAGACAAAGTTTTACGGACACAACTAGCTCACAACTATTACAGGGCTGAGTAACAAAGATGGGTCAGTGATTTTTGATTGTGTATTTGCAATTTTTAGACCTAGTAAACGTAAAAGCATCGTTCACTCAAAAATTAATATTCTGTCGTCCTAAACCCTTAAGACTTCCGTTTATCTTTGGAACAAAAATTAAGATATTTTTGATAATCTCTCATCACTTGTGTTCACTTGCTAAGTATTTATTATAATAACTATAATTTGGGAGTCATTTTTGCAAATTTTCTTTGTATAGAAATGTTAACATTTGATGAAAAAAAAATATTTGTATATGTGAAAAATGTGTATAAAATTTTTGTACATTTTGTAATTTTTTTTAAAAACAAATCTTACGTAATAAACAAAAATTATACATTTCTAATTAGAGATTTAAAATGATAATTGTAAATAAATTAGTAATGTAAAATCTTAAAAAGTTATATATATTTTTTTTTTTTTATTATTAATTGATTATTTTATTTCTTTATTTATTTTTAATTTCCCCATATAGATAAAGCATCAGTTTCAGATATTTCACATGAATTTCCCTACAGTGACCAACAGAAAAGCTGATTTGGAAGTGACTTCTGTGTGAGTGGTGCTTTGTTCATCAATACACTTTTGACAATTGGACCATGGACCTTTTTATGTGACCGCACCTTTAGTTACGTGCACTAAGCATTCAAATGTACATCTCTAGCAGCTGGCCATTTATTTTATTTGTATTTTTTTTAAACTAGTAGTAGCCTGCTATATTTTTACACACAATGACATTTTAACGGCATGTTGGTGTCAGCGTGTGAATAGCAGCACCAAAAGCCAATGCTTGTGTGAGTAACACGTAGTCCTGGAACAGTTGATTCAGCAACTGAACGGTAATTTAACAGGTTTAATATGTGAAAGGGCCAGTGATTCAATATTTTGACAAATGAGCATGGCATAAATCTGTATTTGAACTGGGTCAATTCCCTCCATTACCTTTCTTCCTTTGTCATTGTCAGGAAGGAAACAGAAGCGAGGGAATCCTCTGCATGTATACGGCTGTCCTGGGTTTGGGTGCTCAGGACCCTGCAGACAAAGAGTACATTAAGATGATGAGTGCTTAATGCGGGCCGAGGCAAGGACAAAACCATTTCCACACAAAGGAATGAGTCAGTTATGCCCCCAACAAACGCAGTCTGCTGGATGAAAACATTTGGCTGGTTCATATGGACCTCCAGCACTTCATTCAGTTTATTTATTTAGCCTACCTCTTCTGAAGAGATTATTGTTAAGAATATGCTTAAATCATGGTGTAAATAAATATAAAACAGTACAGAGCACTACATCAGCTTGTCAAGTCAGACCTGTATTCCGGGCGGGATGTTGTAAATGATTTGTATAGTGCCACAGTCTGAGTGTCCAGGCAAAGACTGAGGGATACTGTAAATCTCCATCTTGCCCTTGGGTTGGGTGCCAGTCTTCTCTCCGTAGATTGTCTTACATGAGGGGCACTGAAGACTCCCATCCTGTGGTGTAACAAAAGTGGGAGAAAATAAAAGGAATAGTTTACATGAAAATATTTGGAACTAATACGATTTTTTGTAATCGCATGCACCCATTGTCACTGCTGGAGTAATTCTAAAAATGCATTACACACACTGACGTTCAAACATGTGTTGGTCAGGAAGATTGTTTTGTTTAGTTTTTGAAAGAAATTAAAACGTTTATTTGACAAGGACTGATTGACTGTCACTATTAAATTAACCAATAGTGACAGCAAAGACGTTTATAATGTTACAAAAGATTTCGATTTTAAATAAATGCCGTTCTTTTGAAATTTCTGTTCATCAAACAATCCTAAACACTGTCACTGTTTTCACAAAATAGTAAGTAGAACAACTGTTTTCAACATTAATAATAAGAACAAATGTTTCTTGAGCAGCAAATCAGCATATGAGAACTGAAGACTGGAGTAATGGAATAGAAATTTGTAATAAAATCTAATATTACTGTATTTTTTGTCAAATAAATGTGGCCATAGTAAGCCTAAGAGACTGCTTTCAAAAAACCTCTGGCTTTTGAACGGTATAGTATATTGGAATACTTTTAAAGGTATACTTCATCCAAAAATGTCATCATTTACTCCAAGCTCACATTCCATATCAATGTTTGATTATTAACAACAGTATACCAATCTGTAACGAATCCTGGAGCTACCCTCCCATAGTATAATATACAACTAAGAGAACTGCTTTATTTGTTTAACTCCCAGATCCGTGTCAGTTAGAAGTGTTGGTAAGGAAATGCACACCTTGGTTCCATTGTTGTACATGGCCAGCATGCAGAGCATGTGGAAAGTGTGACCACATTTTGTGAGTTTGCCCACGGTGTTGGGCTGAAGAGACTGAGAGCACTCAGCTGGGACCTCATAACCAGACGGGCAGGACAGGCGCTCCATACAGATAATACAGTCCTGAAAGCACACAGCCAGATGTCACATATCTCACAGGGCAAGGCATGGATAATATTTCCAGAAGAGGCATTAAACGAATGGGTGAATGGCATAAAAATATGTACAGGTCATGTTGTATTTTAGGACCATTAAGATTTTTTTGCATTGTTACGTAGGAAAAACTGCATAATAGTCAGGAAAATAAATGTAAAAATTGTCCAGAAACGGTCATTATTTTCTTTAAGCTAAATATTTCACTCCATTTAGTCATGGTGTAAAATATGACCTGTGAAATTAACCCATCTATGCTAGTACAAAAAGTGTTATTGGACTGTGAACTTAAAATATACCTCATCTGGGACCACAGGCACTTCCTCCATGTATTTCTTAATGACTTCTTCTGGTTTCTGAGCTGGTGCTAAGAACATAAGACAGACCGTAACCTATACGAGTCCAATAACTGGCACTCAAAATCAAATGTTATGACATGATTACATTTTGTTAAAGACACCTTGAAAGCTTAAATTGCAATGTTGTGGCTTGTAGAGCCATATGTATCTGTCAGCTAGGCTGTGTGATCGGTTGTACTACACAGATTTTTGGCCAATCAAATTAATCCTTCCTCATAATACCACCTATAAGAAACAAATCATTGTACATGGCTGTGACTCATCAATATGTCCCACCAAAAGTTTCAAGTTTCAAGCCATTTTGTGGGTTATTTAACATCCAGGTATCTTCCCTTTATAATATGAAGTGCTCTCTAAATTTCTCCATTTTTAAATATAAATATATAATTATTCATAGTTATAAACACTGACTATTTGGTGCATTATGCAGACACTTGATGTTTATTTGAACAAACTCCTTCTGTATCTTTAATGCAGAACGCTGTTTGTTTTGGTTACTAAATGACCAAATACATTATGGAAATGTGTTTTGGTGGGAAGCAGTGAGACATGCTATGACATCTGCTTCCAGCGTATTTCCAAGGAACAACCACCAAATACCTAAGGCAATAATGTTTGCTCTAGACTTCCTGAATCAGAGTTTGCTCTAATGAGAGCATTTTTATGCATTACTGTACACGGATTATAAGATGACACATATAAGCTAATGTAAACACAAGCTTATTTGAATTTTGCCCAAGAAAAGTTTAAGCAAAACCAATTAAAAACTCTTTATTTTTTGCACATCAATCCCTAAGGGGATAAAGTGATGGGGGGAAAAAATGTGAGATGGGAGGAAAAATAATATTTGAATGCTTTTACGACACCCCACCACCCCATGCTGTAATATTTCGCAGCATCACGTTTACCAAGTTAACTGGTAACACTTTACAATAAGTTTCAATTTGTCAACATCAGTTAAACATGCATTTATTAATCATAGTTAATATTAATTTCAGCATTTTCTAATACATCATTAAAATGTATAGCTGGTAATATTATTTAATGGACATGACCTGACATGAATTAACAATAAACAGTTGCATTTATATTAATTAATGTTAACAAATTAATGTTAAATACTGTAACAACTGAATTGTTTTTTGATAGTTAATCAGTTAACTAACGGTAACTAATGGAACCTTATTTTAAAGCGTTACCAGTTAAATTTATAGATCTTAGCAAATTAAATTAGTAAAATAGATATTTTGCTCTTAGGAAAATAAGCTATATATAAGAACATAGCATTCAAAATAAATATTTTATAATTAAACATACTACTACTAATAATAATAAACCATTTGCTAAATAACAGTTTATTAGTGTAGGAACTTAAATAATGTGACTTAAATCATTTAAATAATGTGCATATATCAGCCATTTTACAGAAACTTTGAAGGTGGCTCATCCAATCAGAATTTAGAGTCAGAAATATCTGTTATATGGCTTTTCTTAAAGGAATAGTTCACCCAAACTCACACTCATGTCGTTCCAAACCTGTGTAATTTTCTTTCTGATGTTAAAGGGGTCATATGATGCTGCTAAAAAGAACATTATTTTGTGTATTTGGTGTAATGAAATGTTTATGCGGTTTAAAGTTAAAAAAACACATTTTCCACATACTGTACATTATTGTTTCTCCTCTATGCCCCGCCTTTTTGAAACGCATCGATTTTTACAAAGCTCATCGGTCTGAAAAAGCGAGGTGTGCTGTGATTGGCCAGCTATCCAATGCGTTGTGATTGGCCGAATACCTCAAGCGTGAGACGGAAATGTTACGCTCCTCACATACTGTTGATGCCGTGTCCCGGCCAGAGCGACGAGACAAAAACATTAAAACCCATTACAAACGAGGCATTTGTTGCATCCAGTGGGGACATAATTACTGATTATA